GCGGTGGGGGCTGCTTCTCCCGAGCCTTCCCGTTCCTGTCCAAAATAGTGTAAAGGAAATGGTGTGGTCTAAATGCAGGATAAAAGCCAAGGACCGTAACTCACAGGGCCACGCTTCTCCGCGTGGTTGGTAATTTGCTCACAAACAAAAACACGCTCTGTGATTTCGGCCCCACGGCATTGGAAAATGTACACATTGCCAGCTTTCTGAAACAGCAGATCGTATTTTCTGCTAAGGAGGACACCTTCCTTTCTAAGGTTGATATCATGCCAGTGTTTTCAGAACCTTTTTGTTCAATTAATATCACCTTGCTAGGAAAACAAAGTACTCTAAGGCCATTGCCACAACATACATTTATAAAATGTACGTTACTAAACATTTTTAAAAACCTAGATGGAAGCTGAGAACTCTGGAACAAAACAGCAGGTGTGTAGGATCTAGCAGAAGATACCTGCTTTAATCCTACCAGTAAGAAGCCGGCAGCTTTCACAAAACAAATCTTTAGTAATGTATTTTTTACCTGCACAAAAGAACAATGTGAAAGAAATAGCTGCTTGAAAGTCAATCTCTTTTTTTAGTCAAGATCTCAGTGTTTTGAAGGGCCAGTAACATATTGTATTTCTGGGTTTGTATAACAGAAGAGCGGTGTTTGTGCCTGAAAAACCATGTTCAACTTCAGAAGCATCCTGAAGATACTACAGTTCCTGAAATTATTGATTTTTTTATTTTTTGAGAATTTCATCTTATTCATATTTCCTCCATGCAAAAAAACTTTTGCTGGGGAAATAGTGCTTATTACTGGCTCTGCAAATGGGATTGGAAGGCAGATCGCCTTAAATTTTGCTCCTTTGGGCGCAACCTTGGTTCTTTGGGACATTGATGATGAAGGCAACAAAGAAACAAGCAGATTAGCCCAAAAAAATGGAGCTAAACGAGTGTTTGCCTACCACTGTGACTGCAGCAATAGGGAGGAGGTCTACGAGCAGGCAGACAAGGTAAGAGACAGCTTCTTGCTTCTGATTTGGCTTCTTGCTTCTGATTTTTTGTTTCTTTTTAATAGTATATGCTATTGAATTTTTTTTTTTTTTTAGAAACTGTACTATTCACTAAAGGGAAGTAATCATGTAGGGCAATGACTTTCTCTTCTAGGTGGAACTTAAACTATGTTCGCAATAAAGTAACTAGGTTTAATCCGTCCTGGCAAGATTTATCCATTTCCAGTCTTCGTTGTGAGATGGTAACTTCTTTTAGATGAAGAGTGTGGTAAAACATACAGCAGAGGTTAACTCCATGAATTAGTTTGTTTAGGCTTTAAAATTTCTGTAAGATATCAAGAAACAAACAAACAAAAAAATTAAAACCAGTGGAAATTGTAAGGGGGGGGGGTCCTTTTCTTTGTCCATTTGTTTAGAAAACTGTAGTTCTGTAAGGGTGATGTGGGGTGTAATGGTTTCAGAAATATCATCAGGACATAGCTGGTCTCCAGTCAAATTGATGATTCAGCTTCAGTTTATTTTTTGGTCAATCCAGCTGGAAAGTAAGGAAGAGAAGGACTCCATTTTAAATGAGACTCTTCTGCTGTGCTGACCTACGCTTTGTAAACTATTTTTTATTATTATTATCTCAGTCCAGAAATTGGACATTAAATTAACTTTATTAATTTTTACTTGTCCTTTAACTATATACTGCCTGAAAATATTTCCCAGTATGACCTCACTTATAATCCAGTTATCCACTCTGCTGTTTCATCCAAGGATAGATTCTTCTTTTGTTAAATTCTCAGTATATGTACTTATATACATGACTCTCAAGTCACATCTTTGACTTTCTGTGTCTGAAGGCATACATCAGATTTATTAATTTTTACTTGTCCTTTAACTATATACTGCCTGAAAATATTTCCCAGTATGACCTCACTTATAATCCAGTTATCCACTCTGCTGTTTCATCCAAGGATAGATTCTTCTTTTGTTAAATTCTCAGTATATGTACTTATATACATGACTCTCAAGTCACATCTTTGACTTTCTGTGTCTGAAGGCATACATCAGAGAACTTAGCTAACATATTTCATGTAATGCTGATAGATTGTTTTGGAATAGCCTTGAAATGCAACGTTAATTTTCTGCGAGCTGTCAGGGGGGCTCTTTGTTTTGTGGTTGTTGCTTTTAATTTTAACCAAAACAGGTTAATTCTTTATGAACACGGCTATGAAAGTTTGAAATAAGTATTTTTCCTCAAGAAATGTTCCCAATGAAAAGTACTTCTAAAGGGTGAGTTGGATTTAGTATCTGTAAGTATCTGGAACTGCAATTGTCATGCTTGCAGTCAACAAGGTATTATTTTACCCGTACTTGCTAGCAGCGTTTGGGGCACAGCCAACTAACAGTGCACAGAAAAAAATTCCATTTGGGGCCACTGGTTGTAGATGTTAGGTTGCATCACAGCATTGCTTGGACAGTGCAGGCAAGGATATATCGTATTATAATAGTATGTCTGCAGAGATGAGCAAATTATTGAGTATTCTGTACTGATGCAATACAAAATGTTCAAGGAGGACGATCTTAGCCAATTACTTGTGCAGTACAGATGATGTGATCCTCACTGTGTAAGACATTGATTATGACTCTTGCAATTTTGGAGTAAGAATCCCAGTAATTTCAGCAATCTTAATATGTGTCATCACTTCCCAGCAAGATGAAAAACCATTCTGAGCAACTTGTGGTCAGTAGTTCAAATATAACACTTGATCTTTGTTTGCAATGATACTATAAATCAAACGGTAATTCTTCTAGAGTCCTCTTTGTGCAAGAAAAAAACTCACTTTGGAGTTTACCAAGTTCAAATGTCTTTAAAAAATAACCTTTTAAATTGGCATTAAATCCCTATTCCCATAAATGCTATCTGCTTCTTGCAAAGATATGCACCGAAATGATTAGTTTAAGCTTTTGTAAGTAATTCCTCTGTTAGACTTTCCTGTTGATGCTGAATGTTTTGAAATTATTTGTTTGTTCTTAGTTTAGCAGAGTCCCAAACTGTTTGTTTTGTGCACTCAAGTAATTCTCAATCTCCAAACACATCAACCAAATCAGCCACAGGGCTCCAGCCTGCCGAATTTGCTGTGCCCGTATCAGCAAAGAGTATTCTGAAGTGCACAGACTGACCTACAAGCAGAAACTCAAAGAGCTGTTTCAGATTCAAGAATTGGTGTTAAATGATTCTTAACTCTACCAACAACTTTGTAGGTATTTGCATGAATTGAACAGTCATGTAGGAGCCCGAAATTTTTTTAGAGCAAGAGTTTTTCAGCCAGGGGCCTCCTCTACTCTTGGAAATACCTGCAATTTTTTGATTGGTAATATGAAAAGTCTTGAGCTTGGACACAGAAGATAAAGGAATAGCAGAAAACTTAAATTAATTGCTCTGATTTGGGATATTCACTGCAGAAAGACCTAGGTATTTTCCCCCAGTGGAAGCTTGCTTTCTAGGAAGCAAATCAGATCATTGAAGTCCATGAAGAAGGGGTTTTAGAATAAACTGGTGAAGTGACACTGATCAGGCAGTGTCCACCTGGGAATTCTGAAGGAAATCAGATATAGATCTGATGAGCTAGAAATGGGGTGGGGGTGGGGGTGGGTGTGTGTGTTTTGCTATAACAAATGTCCAAGGAACAAAGAGTAGCAAATATGCCAGTTTTAAAGAGCACTTGAGAGGACACAAAGAAACTACAAACCTATCTTACAGAAATTTAGTAGAAACGATAATAAAGAGAAGAATTAATAGACACCTAAAGAAACACATAATGAAGAATAATCAGCTTGACTTTTTGTCAGGCTTCCCACATTTTTTGGGGTAGTGATTGAGCAGGTCAAATGAAGCTGGATTAAATAAAATGCTACCATTGGGGAAGCTCTGTTGCCATGTGAAGAAAAAGGCGATCGTCGTATGGACTAACACAGTAGCTAAAAGGTATGAGTGGGGAGAAAGTACAGACATATCCCACAAAGGAATTGTTGGGTAATCCTGCCATACTCGGCAGTGTCTAGATTTGCATTCATTTGTGCAGAGGGACAGGTGCTAGTATCTGAGCCCTGCTTGTCTATGACAAGGAGAAAGCCTGACACAGCTGGAGGAGTATCAAACAAGTCTTCACTGAACACTAAGGTTCCATGAAAGAGCTAAAGCAAGGTCAAATGTTGTGGCACCTATTTCCAAATTGCCAGACAGCAGCATATCTGGGATTTTTATGGTTTTGTAGTCGTTCTGTAATTTTTGAGACACCAAGTAACGTTTGCCTCTAGCACAGAAATCTCTGCAATGAGCCTGATTCTTAACACTGTAAGTAAATCTTGGCCATCTTCTTTGATATAAATCCAAATCATGGAATAAAATATTTTTATAACAAACCCAAATGGAGTTAACGGTGATTTTGGCCTTCTCTCCAAGTGATGTTATCTATCTATTTCATGGTACATGCTTCTGTACTCAGAGGATTGCTATCCCCAAGGATCTGCACTGAATTCTTTCCTGTTCAGCAGAAATGATCTGGAAAAGGGGTTCAACAGGCTTGCCTGAGGAATACAGATTCTCACAATACCAGCAATAGGGGACAAGAAATGTTCAGGTTGCAATTAAAGCATGCTCACAGTGCACACTAAAGCTTTGTAACTGATTACCTTAGGTTCCTGTGGTATTCTGGAGTTCAGAAGCAATTAGACAAATTCTTGGGGAAAAAAAATCATCAGGATATATTAAATACAAAGATATAGATACCTTATCTGTCTCAGGAAGATCCTAAGCTGCAGAGTGTGAAAAGTTGAAGAGTACACTGGAGGACACCTTAGAGTCCTGGTCCTTTTTTTACTGCTTTCCACCATGAGACAAAGGCTATGGGGCTAAATGGACCTTTGATCTGGTGCAGTACAACAGTTCTTACGTACTTACATTTCCAGTAGAGATATAAATAATTGCAAATATCACTAACCATTTTCATAAATGAAGTACAGGAGGCAAGGATATGTTCTAAAGCTTTCTGTTTATCCTTTTTTTATTCAGGTTATAAAAGAAGTTGGGGATGTTACTATTCTAATCAATAATGCTGGCATACTGCTTGGGAAAAAGTTTTGTGACATTTCAGATGCAGATTTTGAAAAGACCTTAAGAGTCAACTTCCTCTCTCAAGTCTGGGTAACGTATTTTTTTCTCTTCTGGGTGACCGAAAGGAACAGGCAAGTATTCTAGTGTGAGAATCATCACAGTGGCACCTACCTGGGGAACCCAATTTGGAATAGGGATGGGAAGGGCCTTGAATGGGGTAAGGTACATTTTTTTAATCATCCTATAATTGGAGACACGCCAAATTGACAGTCTCCCCACTATGTCTCAGTAATGTTAACACAAACCTGCCTGGGCACTCTGGTGAATCAGAAGTTTGTGCAACCATATCGTGAAACATGCTCTATCTGTAACAGCTGTGGCTGAAGTTAGTGCTGACATGATGGCATGTGGCTTTCCTACCTCTGAGGTTTGCTGGCATCAGAAGGATTTGTCTAACAGACTTGTAGCATTCTGGGAGGCACAACCATGGTTTAGTGGTGGACTTGGCAGTGTTAGGTTTACTGGTGAACTCGATGATCTTAAAGGTCTTTTCCAACCCAAATGATTCTATGATTCTATGCTGCATGTATTTGTGTCAGTCTTCAGGTTGTGCTTTCATTCCTAGTCACCATGGGCTTAATGTAGATAGAAAACTGATAGCATGTATTATCTTTGCTTTGTTTTCATACCTCTGAAGGAATTTGCTGTTATTTGGGGCCTCAGTTAACCTTTAGGTTTTGTTGTGATGGAGTGCTACTCTTGCCCCCTCTTGCATTTGTTGTTTATGTGCCTGAGTGAGCAGCCTGCATCAGGGAAAAATGTAGCATTGCAAATCCCTCGCTAAATGGCATTTCTCAACAGAAAATCGTTGCAGATAGAAGTCCTCTAATCATTTCCCTGCCCACAGTGCATCATTCTTCCAAATACTTGAGGCAAAGGGTCTGGGAGAGATGCTCCTCCTGACAGGTCTGAAGAGACATGGGGCAGGAGGACAGTGACCGTGGGCCCTCAACCAAAAAAACGTGTACTAGGCACACACATACGGAGTCGAATAGACGTCGTAACACATCTCAGCTATTGAAAAAAAATTTGTTACTGCTCTTGTCTTTTTTCTTATCTCCCCCCTCATAAAACACTAGCGTCCTCCTTATATAGTTAGTATCACCCACAGTGGCGGTCTGGGGTGCCGGAGTTGTCAGGCAGTTCGGTTTGTAACAAATGGGGCCCATAGACAGCTGAGCTCCCCTTGATGTCTTGACTTCTAGCTCCCTCTTGTGTACCAAATCTTTGGTAATAGTCAGAGGACTCAAACCGTGAGGAATCAGGAGGCAGAGAAAATACAGACTTTGCTGCTTTTAATAACACGGTTTTAATGCTGACAGATCTTCAGAGAGAGGGCGGTCATTCAAGGAGGTGCTGTCTCTCATTTACTAATTCTTACAGAGATAGAAGTTCAGTTGGGCTTCTTGTATGTTGAAGCCCCAGAAAGCAAATCGGGTTGTAAAGCCTAATTTGGAATGCAACATTTTTGGCATGTCTAGTTATAAAGGGGTTTTTTTTATATGTCTCTTAGACTTGCAAGACCTTTCTTCCAGCCATGATGACCTGTAACCGTGGACACCTGGTTAGCACAGCCAGTGCAGCAGGATTGCTGGGAGTCTACAGAATGTCAGGTTAGTATCGTCAAGTGCCATTAAAAAATTAGATCTACATGCTAATAACTTTTCTTGGAGATCTCATAAATGCTTGGCTTAAGCAGTTTCTACTGACATACTGAACACTCAGGAAGAGCCTGCAGATACAAAAGGTGAGGGTGTATTGAAGAGGATGATGGTGGCATGTTGCCTGAGTGGCACAGGGAGCTCATTGCAGATTTTACTCTCTGACTGCAGTTCGTCTGATCTCCACATAAGAACAAATCAGCTCGTACGTGTGTGGTGGGAGGTTGCACACAGGTTGTCTAACACTTTCTCGTGCCAGGTTTTCTGCAGATGAATGTTCAGAGTCCTGAGACATACGTGGGTTATACCTGAACTATACATTTAGTTGGAAAATGGTTTTCAGATCCAGAAGGCATTTTGGCAGAATTTTTATTAAAATTAATTTGAATGAGCTGTGTTTTAAGCTATTTAACAGCTCCATATTCTCAGCTGTTTCCCTCAGGAGAGCTGTCTGCTACAGTCCTGACTATTTCATCAGCCTGGGTCTGCTGCCCAGTCTCTGCTCAAGCCTCTCTGACATCCTGATCATATCTCTTAGGTCACCCTATGAGAATGTGAAGTTCAGTGTAAGAAGTACTTCTTGTTTCTTCTGCTGATTGATGGTGTTACTGTAGTGTTTATTTGCCACCTGTTATCATTGGGTCAGATGCAGCATTGATAATAGGTCACATCCAGCTTTCATCATTTAACTGTAAGGCTTATGAAAGTGGACCTGCCCATCCATGCATTATAACTTTTTACACCTTAGCTATGCATTTTCAGGTTGTATGGTTCCATCACCCACTATGGGTGAATCTGTGAAGAATAACAAACTGTCTCTGATGCCAGTTTTTGAAATCAGTCTTTTAGCAAAATTAGATTTTGTTGTATCTAACAACTATTTTCACACACATTTGAAAAAGCCTTAGGAAACCACATGTAAATTCCTATATTAAAATAAGGTTCTTACAGTTGCGGAATTGTAGAATAATTCAGGTTGGAAGGAATCTCTGGAGATCATTTGGTCCATATCCCCAAATAAAAGCAAGCCCAACTTAGATCAGGTTGCACAGGGCCTTGTGAGGGCAAGTTTTTATTATCTCCAAGGATGGAGTTCCACACGTTCATCAAACAATAAAAATCAGACAAGATTCAGTCTTCCCAGGCAAACAAAATGGTATTGCAGTTGCAGGGTAAATCAGAAGAAATAATAGGTTGAAGCAGCATTTATGAGTAGGATATTTAGATTTTACCACTAGAAATAGTTCTTACTGAAATGTAAGCTGTGATATGGAAGGGTGAAGACATTCGGAACTGAAAGAATGCCTGGCTTGTGTGAGAGTATCTGGAAATGTACATAAAATGTTGAATAAGCTCATCTTCTTTTATCTCTCTGTAGTGCACTGAAAAAAAGTCCTCTGGAAAGGAGGACCTTAGACAACTGCATCTTACATGGGAAGAGCCATTAAGCCTCAGAGTTAGCATCACCAATGTGCACAGCATCCTTAAAATACTAATTACAAGACTGCTAATTACATAACTAAGTAATATCAGGGCTTAAATAGTATTACAAAACATTAAATTCTGTATGTAACACTTACTGTAGTGCTTTTGACGTATTTTGGATGTTTCTTCTTTCTTTACTTTTCAGATTATACTGGAAGTAAGTATGCAATTATTGGAATGATGGAAGCCTTAGATTCGGAACTGTATCATGCAGGAAAACAAGGCATTAAAATAACAATCATTTGCCCTTATTTTATTAATACTGAATTAGCTAAAGGTTTTCAAACCCAGTAAGTAAAACTTAGATCATGTATTATTTCATATGTAAAAAATAATCACTACTCACTAGATAGGCCATATTCAGTCTCTAGCTATTATAAGGTTGATTTGCTTTTCAATTCAGTATTTTTGCCCTATTGGTACAGACAACTATGCCTCTTGACATAAGAAATCCAAGCTTTGCATACAATTAACAACTGACATGCAACAGGGACTGCATAATAATCTCGGAGTCAAGGAACAGTTAGGGCTGCACAGCAATATTTAAGGCAACTTTATTTGCCAGTAGAATGGGCACTGTTGAGGTTCTCTGCTCCAAGTGCTTTTGGCACAGTGATTACAGTTATGGCTGTCAGGATGCCCGTGACCTATCGTTATTAACTGTATTAGCGGGTCCTATACTTATCTGAGTGAGAATAGCTGTGATGGTAGTATCTGCTGGGTTGCTGTATTGTAGTGATGGTAGAGGCTGCAGGCACCAAATTAGCCATTGCAGTAGTGCAATATCAGTGGTTTGGTTTTTCAGTGCTCTGTTCCTGCTTCCACCATTCATCATCCTGTAGTAGCATATATTATGCAGAGCACAGCCTTTCTCCTGGCTGGAAACAGGACTGGTCCTGGTCTATTTAGCCGTCACCTCAAAATCTACAGTAGAAAGGGAGGAGGTGTGCAGAGGGCAGAACTATTGTGCATAGAACAGCATATAGTATGGCTTAGCTCGGAAGTTTTCAATGCCACAATCACTGTGGGCATTGACTTCATTAGGGTCAGAGCAGGGCTTGCACAAAAGTCATTAAAATTCACATCACCAAAGTGTTTTCAATTTATTTTGATGATAGCAGGAGCAAAGAGGATTGGAGGCTCCTTTTCAAGACTACTTGAGGGGAAGGGGAAAAATTCTTAAATTAATTGATTAATTAATTTCTGTGTTAGAATACCTCTCAAAAGTTAAGTTTTATAATTTTGTAATGCTTTGTTTCTTGTTTCACCAGAAACCGCCTTTTTCTTCCTGTTTATGATGCTGAGTACGTAGCCAGCAAGATTATGGATGCAATTCAAAAGGAAAAGTTTTATCTAATCATGCCTCTGACTTTACGCTTTCTTGCTTTCAAAACGTAAGAATGTGACTCGTCTTCTAGCATTTCCTTCTTTCCTTTGCCATATGCCTGCAAAATCTTTTTTTGAAAGTTTAGTAAAAACAGTCCTTTAGTTAGTATTCCTGCAGTCAATCCGGTTATATGTACCCGATTATGAAGAAACAGTGGTTTTAATTTTTAATAATCCAGGTGAATAGCAGTCCTCTGGCCACTTCTGTCTCTAATACACGTCTTAAGCTACAGTTGGGTATAGAAATTTCAAAAATTTTCCTGGGATGGTACACTGGGAGTAATGCCTGGACTAGAACTGTCCGCTTCCAGTAACTGCCTCCACCGCCGGCCGGGCTTTCACAGAATGGCTTGGTCTGTCATTCATTTCCCCCATTTATAACATGGGAGAGCCAAATGTGTTGTTGCCAGATGTTAGAAGTATTGAGCACATATAAAGAATTTATCATTTCTTTATTTATAGAGTACATTTTTCTAAAAAAACATAAGGCTAACTCGGTGTTTGTCTCATCAGTCTCATTCCTAGAAAAATGGTACTATTCTTCGAATCTTGCCTTAATATCACCAACAGCTTCGATAAAGCCTTTGGTCGGAAGAAAAAGATTGAAACCAAAATATTCTGAAGACCTCGAGTGCCATCTAATTGAAAATTTTCAGTAAAAATTAATTTTGAATCATGTTTATCCTTTGACAGAAAATTTGCTTCTTGTATGATATTTGACATTGGTCAGCATGCAATTTAATTCTTCATAACTGTCTTTTAATCACTGATTTTTAGCCACAGCCCTCTCTCTCATTTCATGACGGCATGCTGCTTTTATCTGAGCTCTCAATAAAAGTCAGTAACACCAGGCAGGGATGTTTGACTTCATTTCATACTCTGAATTCTCAATTTCTGAGCAAAATCTCAAAGCATGAGAAAAACGCACTACTGTTCATGCAGAAAGAAGAAAAAAACACAAAGCACTTAATGTATTTCCCTTTCAGGGCCAAAATAGCACTGCAGTTCACACAAAGCCGACGTGAAGAAGGGCGCTGTGGGATGATATGCTCTGGCTGCCGAGCTGCGTGGGGAGCTGTGTCCTGAAGAAGAGTGAACTGCAATGAGCACTGATAAAGTGTGTGCAGTGCTGTGCTCCTTGTTAGCCACAGCACACTTTTCTAAGCACAGTTCCACGGGAAGTGTGTGCCTCGGTTTTAAGCCATGGCTAGAGGCTAATATCGGATCATTTTTCAAAGGCTGTGACTTAGAAAGAGCACTTACAAAACTCTAGTGGCAGCAAAAAAATCATGTGCCTGCTCAGAAAGGAAGGATGATGAAGCCCCACAACCAGATGGAGCAGACGGGAAAAAATCCTTTATAGAAATTACTTATATGGTAATTAATTGCCTCTATAAATTTTGTAAAATGTTCCTACAACAGAAGAGTCAGAGTTTATAGACACGGGCTCTGTGGTCAGCATCTGCTGTAGGCAGCTGCATGGAACACTCGTGAAGTCCATAGGCATCTGACTCCCTTCTCTGACCCTATAGGCACCTATGTGCCTTTGAAGCACCCTGCTGAGGCTAGATAATTGGGTTAAGGTGTTGTGTCCCAGGTTAGGTCCCTGAAGTCAGCTGAATCTGCACCTGCAAACTGGTCCACACAGTTTTCTTTAGTTTCATTGACCTTAGTAAAATTACTTAGAAAATTGTTGACTTAAGAGTATTGTGAGGAGTCGGAGCAAGAATTCTTTGTTTGGCAGTTTTCTGAGTAATTTTTGAAAAATCATTAAAATTTAAAATTACATAGGTATTATGTTAAATGACCAAGAAACAACTTTCTGTGGACTGTATTGCTTTCAGAGACTGACTTTTCAATGAGGTAGCCTGCTTGTTAGTGTGAAACGTAACTTTGTTGTAAATCATGGGAAAAGAAATACAGACATGAGGAATACCTCATGTATTCTTGGACAATTATGGGATGGCTCTCGGGCAAAATTTCTTATATTTGGAGAGAAGTCACATCCGTCTCCTTCAACTGTCTCTAAATGAAATTACAACCTAAAGGTCCTAAAGGAAAAAACTCCCCAATAGCAGAAGTTCAAAGATGAGTGATGCAAAAGTATGTGCTGGTACTTAATTGATAAAAATCAATCCTCACACAAATTTTCAGAAAATGCTAACATAAACCATTCATAATTTGCTTAATTTAAAAATAAATAAATTGCAGACCAGAATAGGAAATCTACAAAGCATAGTTTATAAAACTCCACTGTAAGGAATTAAAGAGAACCTTGAATGGTCATCTGTTGCCCACATTTGTCACCATATTTCTATTGTACTTAACTAACCCCATACTTACAAGCTCCCTTCCAGCTACAAATGCCTATAAGAGTGCACACTCCAATTAAAAAACTATTTTTTTTAAATGCCAGTGTTTTCAAAGTACACATACATTCAGTAAATTCTTTAATGTACCTTGTAGATATTATTGGGAAAAATTTAGCTGAGAGAAGGAGAAAGCTATCTGAAGTTTGGCTCTTTGGAAAGCAAGGTTTATTGATTTATATTTTGAAAAACTTTCCAAGTGATCAGTAATTGAAATATGCTTTTCTTCCTACTAATGAGCCAGGAACAAAGTCTAAATTGCTCCCGGGAAATAACGATGCTTTCCTTTTCAACTGGAAACAAATATGTTGAATATTGGGATTCCCTTATTCTGCAGGAATGTTGCAATTTGGCTCTAGATCTATGATTGCTTTTAAGTATGGTTACAGGAGACTAAACAAATTGGCATGACAATATATTTGTGAATGTATTGTGGGCCTGAATGTGCTTAAAACATAATTTCATTGCATGTGCTGTAGAGCTTATGAACAGGGCTCACGAGGCAAAAGGCATACATTTTTAAATGCTTTGTAAAATGAGGCTCCCATTTGAAGTAGTTACCTGTTAGTGACATTAAGATTTGGTGGACTAGCCATCATTAAAAATCTGGTATGTCAGGATGAAATATTTGCAGTCAAAGAGCATACTATGAGGGCTCTCCTTTCACGACTTTTTTTTTTCATTTCTTTAACTAAAATCTGCCAACCTTACCGCCAACATTTGCAATTGTAAGTTTACCATCTATATACACAGGACATGAGAAGATTAAGAATAATATAAAGGGAACAATGCTTTATTTTCTAAGCCACATTTCACCTATTCTGCATAGCCATCCTGCAGAGCCTTATTCTGTATTGCTGCAGTCTCAGCCAAGGGCACTCTTTGGCTCCATTTCTTCTGGCTAATCTGCTTGTCTCAAGAAGGAATTTGTACAGCTTATGCTTTCTAAGTGTCACAGTGATCTGTTAGATCTTCTTATCAGCCCTAGAAATCAGGAACACATTCTTTTCTATGAAAATACCAGGAAAATATTTCATTTTTTATTTTTACAAAAAAGAAGTGCGATGGATCCTGTAACACAATTCTAAAACTGTAAGCCAAGACCTTCCTATTTAAGTTCAGAAGAAGCTATTGGATGCTGTTCCTGTCTTTTAATATAAAATTATCTTTTGTGCTTTGAAGCATAGTGTGCCACTTAAGAAGTATCTCAGAGTTACGGGCAACTCCTGAGAAATGTGTGCTTTCCTTCTTTGAGGCTTTCATCTTATTCGTAATTCCCCCACACAAAAACAACGTTGCAGGGGAAATTCTGTTATTTCCGAAGCTGCAAATGGGACCGGAAGGCAGTTTATCTTCATTTTTTCTCCTTTGGGAACAATCCTGGTTCTCTGTAAAACTGATGAAGAAGAGACAAGCGGATTAGCAGGATTCAACACGGGCTGAATCTACCTGTGTTGCTGCATCAATAGAGGGATAATCTGTGGTGTCAGACAAAATAGGTCTTGCTCTTTTTTTATACCCATTAGTACAACGTACCTTTTCAGAGCGTATTTTGCTCACAGAGGAAGTTGTAGAATCAAGTATCTTATAAAGATCATTAATCATACTCAAACTATAAGCATCTTGAGGAAAGAAACATTTGAATGATTCTGTAACCTCTTGGGTATTTCAGTGCCGCTCTGTGACACTCCCTGAGCACCTACGCAAGGGCTCAGGTGGTTTTGGTGGTACACAGCACCCTGTGACTCCTTAACTCCCAGACCATGAAGAAGAGAGCACCTTGTCCCATTAAGTCCACAGGCTGGATCGCTCAGTACAGCTTAGTTCCTGTCCCACATCAAAGCTCCTTCTGGAGGAAAAGTGTTTTTAAAGCATCTGCAGAAAGCAGAGAATATTGTACTATATATGATACAAATGTGTGATACACCGTACCAAAGACATCATTACGCAGTAGCCTTCTAGGCTCAGACCCAAAATGTCTGCAGTTCCTTCTGGGTATATAATGCGCTGTCATAGCCTAATCAGAACAACCATCTGAAATACACAGCTCTAGTGAAGACAGCCATTGCATGGAAATGGAGATATATTACATACTTTCTCCTCGATTTTTTTAGTTCATCTTTTACATGGGAGAGAAACATTTCCACTCAATCAAATTCATTTTATATTCCCTATAAATTGTCATTGCAGTACCTCATATTTGCTCAAATTCTTCATTTGTATACTTAAGCATTTAACATCTTAAGAGATGCCAAGGTGTAATTTGCAGCACATCATAGAAACAACTGGACTTCCCCAGAAAGTCTGACAGCTTGGTTTGTTTAATCACCTGAATTGGCATTATCCCATTAAATTACAAAACATTCCCAGAACAACCTCAGGCTTTCCAAAGGCCCAATCACCCTTCATAAAAGTCAGCCTGGAACGCTCATTATTTTAAGTTATCTAATGAGTTTGTTTGGAACCCAGTTTTGAAGAGTGAAACGAATCTGAAAAAGTAAATGAATAGTACAGTCAAAGAGAAGACCAAAGGAAACAGATGGGAAAAGACAGCATAGCCCAGGGGCCAGTCTGAAGACCTTTGTGTGCAAGGTTTGCCTTGAACACCATCGAGATACCGGTGCTTGCAGGAAACGCAGCCGAAGGTCTTGGGATACCAGATACGGACAACTCGTTTCCATCAGAGGCTCCCAGCCTGCACAAAGGCTACAGATGCATTTGCACACAGACCACAGAGCAGCACCCATAAGTAAGTATCTGAATATGTGATTCACTGTGGGGAAGATTCCCATTAATTGCACGTAGTGTTGAAACACGTGCTACGGGCAGGTTGCTTACTAGATACGAGGAGTTCCCGGTGTCACCTTATTCTCCTGCTTTATCAAGTAGTAATTCTGAAATTGGGGAATCTATTGCAAGACAGGTTAGAGTGGGAGAAAGAAAATTATTTTAGTAGGACAGCTTTTATAAAAAGACACATGAAGATACTCAAAGCCAATTTGAGGCTAGTCGTATGTACTAAATTATAGGGAAAAGTGTATTTTTAAATTCTGCAATATTTGAAGTAAGTCTTATTCATGTGTAGCTTGTATCTTCTTCTTAGCCTCCGCGTGGAACGATGTTTAGTTCACAGTTCGCACAAGCAATGGGACAATTGTGGAGGAATAGACTTGGAGCTGGAAGTCAGGAAATTCCCTGTTCCTCTGTCTTTGACTACCTTTGTCTTTGACCAAAAGGTTTAATCCTGCTGTTC